GGTTATTTGTATTCATAGGTTGATTTAGAAAAAACCACAGCGGTAGGTATTGAATAAAATGTTTTAAAATTAAATTTATTTACTTAAAATAAAGGCTCTGTTAGTTGTTTTCTGATTTTTTTACCAACCTTCAATTTTTCGTACAAGTGATTAGTATGATATTCTTATTAAGCTAGTGTAGCTTATCCTTTTATTAACAATTTCAAATCAAAAAGACTAAAATTCAGATCCCGATCAGTAAAATAGTTGTGAGTAGTTTACCTCCCGGACTCCCTTCAAGTGCTAGTGGAGGTTAACCCCTAGGATATCTATTTATTTATTTTTTATTATCGTTTATCTTTTTATGAACTAATATAGAAAAGACATTCTCATATCCCTATTGGACATCCTAATTTACTGTATAATGAATGTAAACCCTAAGTTTATTATTCGCTTTCGTATTTAAAAATACAAATTTATTTCCTTTGAGTTCTGAACTTTTACATCTTACTTCTTGTTTCTTTAATCTACAATCTCATATTTGTGCCTTTGATCTCTCAATCATTTTCATCTCTCATTGTCTCAATGGTAAATTTTTCTTCGTCATCTTCAATCGCAGCCTGGTCATTCTGCAATCAATGATTCCCTCAACCCTTATTTTCTTCATTATGTGATAGTCCAAATGTTGATTTTAGTCTCTCAATAACTTACCAGAGATAATTATTCTTCCTGGAGCAGAGTAATGATCATTATTTGCTGGGTCAAGTACAAATTACGGTTTGTTAAAGGGACTATCTTTAGACTTGATGATTTTAATCTAATCCTCTTGAATGCATGGGTAAAAACAATAATATTGTTATTTTTTGGGAACAAATTCAATAACTAAGAAAATCTCAGCCAACATCATATTTTTGGACTCAACTTATAAAATTTGGAGTAATCGCAAAAGTAATTTTTAACAAAGTAATGGCCCATAGATCTTTCAGTTATACATAAAATTTACAACATTACTACATAATCAAGGTCTGTGAGTATTTACTTTACAAATTTAAAAACTTTATAAAAAAAGTTAACAACTTTAGTTGTATGTTCATGTGAAAAATTTATTTATGGTGGATTGACTGGCTTGAACTCTAATTTTCAAATGGAGTATGTAATATATTGTTGCTATTGGAGCCCATATCTTTGGTTAAATAAGGTACTTTCTTTAGTTTCTTATGAGGAAAGATAGAGAACTATTGAGAATAAGTTTATATATTTAAACATGAACATGAATATGTTGTTTTTAGTAAAAATAAAAAAGCCTAAGCTATTCTAAAAATGAAATTCAAAAAAGGAACGACCATTTTACACGCATTGTAAATAACTAGGTCACAATATTGATAAGTATTATAAGTTACATGGTTACCCATTGAAATTAAGTTAAAGTAAAAAAGACAAAAATTTTCAATCAATAAGTTTCAATTACTTCTTCAATAAAGAAAAATGATAAGTCAAAGTATGTTACGAAGTTTATGCAAAATTTGACTCTTTTTCAGTATCAACACTTGAAGATATAGTTATCACCATAGCTTATTTGGAAGTTATTCATAATTATCTTTATATACAATTCAAGTTAAATGACCATGGTCAAGTTACATACTTTACGAGTCTTGAGATTACTAGATCTAAATGGGGAATAAATTTTTCTCAAATACATTATACCCTTAAGTCGTTAAAAGTTACTGATCTTTTGGCTTTAAAACCAACTAGCCTACAATGAATATGAAACTTTCACTAAGGGTCGATGATGGTCAATTATTACAGGACCCTATTCAGTATGAAATATTAATTGGTAGACTCTTATATTTGGTTTTCTAAATATCTTATATCACTTATGCAATCCACAATTTTTCCTAATTTTTTTTCTAAGGTATGACAGCCTTGCTTTCAAACAACACACAATCTACCAAAGGTATCTTAAATCCAAACTATGACAAGATATATTTTTTTATTCCACAAGTAACACATGCCTCCAATTTATAACATTCTCAAATACTAATTGGGCATTATGTTTTAATTATAGGAAGTTCATCATTGGGTTTTACATCTTTTTTTATAACCCTCTTATTTCCTTGAAGGCCGAAAAATAGACCACAATTTCTAGATTATCTATTAAAAGCTGAGTATATGACTTTAGTGATTGTGACAAATGAAGTAATTTAGATTCATTAATTATTGTATCGATTTTGGTTTTCCTTTCTCCATTCTAACTTTATTATTAAGTGATAATTAAGTTGTTATCCATACTACTTCTAATTTTACTTTTTGTAAACGAACAAATTACATTGAAATTACTGTGATTATTTACATTCGGACATGGTGAAGCTTCTTCCCATTCACTTTCAACATCAGCTTGTATACCTATTTACCAAACCCCTATCTTCAAATATTTTCTGTTCATTATTATCCAAAGAGAAAATATTAAAATTAATTAGTTTATCAATTGATTAATACTTTCACATAGTCTCTTATTTAGGCTTGGTTAGTTACCCACGTGTGTGCATGTCTAACTTTTCAACTTGTGTGTATACTCATATGTACATCTTTCATAATAAATTTTTAGTTAATTTTTAATTATTTATTTAAATATTTTTTGAAACCTTTTAAAACTAAAAAAAAATGAATAAACAAAATGATGAACAAATAAAAAAAAATTTAGTCATAAATCGAGTAATGGGTAAAAAATTTATTAGCAAATTTAAATTCTTTTATTCACTTTAAATATAAATTTTTTTGTTTATTCATATTTTTATTAATAAATTTTTGAGTAGACGTATTTATTTTATAACTATCTTTAATCATGAGATTGAAAATAAAAGATAAAGTTCAGCTACGTCAATAATGACTTTTTGTTTTTATTTTTGTTCTTTTTTTAATAATACGATAAATAATATGCTATTTAAGACATATGGATGTCGATGGTGCATGGTCCCCTCAGAACTCAATTGAAAAATTAAATAGACGATAACTTAGAATATAAAACTATGTTCTTATTTTTTTAGGATTATTATTATTATTATTATTATTTGAATGGATATAAATTTTTAGTGGTTTTCAGGAAACAATTCTTTGTTTGTTATTAGAATGATGAGTCCATCTCAAGGAATTAATTTGATTTGAAAAACTATAAATTTATTTTATAAATATGTTTAACCATTAAATTAAAACAATATAAAATTCAAATGAAAACTAAAATAATAATTCAGCAAACAAATGAAAAAAAAAACTAAAAATAAATTTTAAATAAAAAATCGTAATAAACCAACCAAGTCCTAATAATCGGCCGGAATCCAAAATCATCAAAATTGAAGTTTGTTATATTTTTATTGTAACATAACACAATTTAATTTAAAAATTTTAAAACTCTATAAATTAATTGTATTAAAATATCATTATTTAGTTGCATTTAAGAAAAAAATTATAATAAATTAAATTAAATAGAAATTGCATTTTTCTAAAAAAAAAAAAATAGAAATTACATTTGATAAAAGTGTTTATAATTACATTTGTGGTGGGAGGAAGGGACCAGGCTGTCAAGGCTGTTTGGTTGCCATCACAACTTGCCTAGTTCCAACATCAAACTTTGCCTCTCTCTCCCATGTAAAACCAATCGCGCAATGTGTCTTCTAACTACAATAAAATTACATCCTTATCCACAACCATACTCACACATATACGTGTGTATGTGTATATATATATACTGTATATGTAATTTTACAGAATTACATGGAGTTTAATCTTATGAAATATAAACAAAATTATATTGAGATTTTAAGTGTAAAAAATACTATAATTTCAAGCAACTTTTATAAATAATATCAGTTGATCCATTTTATGATTTATCTTTTTTAAAAAATAATAATACAAATATATCGTCATAAATTATGTATTAAACATGTAGTTTATACTGTTTTAATACTATACTTATTTAAAATTTATAAAATTAACATATTATTTAAAATTTAAATTATAATTTAATTTAATTGAGACATAATAAGTTCATAATAATTAATTTTTTAAAAATATTATTTAAATTATATCTATTTTTTTTTTTTTTAAAAGATTAATTTGTATCCTTGTGTTATAATTTTCTAATCTCATTATTTAAGTTATAAAGTTAAAACATAATTCAGTGTTTTCTTAATCAAGGTTAAATTTTGGGGCTAGGCTATAGTGACAGGCGACATTAATTTCCAAAGGAAATGAAGATAGGGTGGAGCCATTTAGGTTCCCGGGTACGAACCAGAGGGATGCAATGTATAGTACGGTCAAGTTCAGGAGCAGGAGCATTGAACACGGACCAAAATTCTCTACCTGCATCATTTAATTTAATTCATTACACCGAAAAAAAAAAAAAGAAAAAAGAAAAAAAAATAAATAGTGGTAAGTGGTATTATAGCCGGTTTCCTTTTTCACTCCAATCAATTTTGACGGATATCTGTTTCCTAAATGCGACTGGAGGAATTGGTCATCAATCCACGTGTAGAAATTTTATTGGTAGGTGAGTTGGGAATTGGATCTTGGTGGGAGCCACGTGATTATCCTGTCCGAAGTGGGACCGGATAGCGCGTAAATTGAGGCCGCCAAGTGACGTGGAGGAGCAACGGCCAAAACTTTAAAAGACAAAGGAACTATAGACTCAAGTCCTAGCCACTCGTTTGAGTGGCTGAGACATCTTTCTGAGTCCAGTCCACGTCCAACGCCCCACTTCCCTCTGCCTTTACCTCTACCCTGGCCCTCACCATTATTTACACATCAATTATTTGTATAAGTTATGCGTATACGTCCACTGAGTTTCCCCTTTTACCCCTTTAAAGTTCACAAATTCCCGTAACTTGCAAACCGTCGTAAATTAACCTTGAAGACCAGATTAATTGAGATTTTCAGCTGGGATATAATGGTCAAATGGATATAAAGAGAAACTATCTCCAAAAGAAAGATATATATTACAGTACGTAGATAAGATCCTTTCTTACCAAATCAAAAAAAAAAAGGGCAACGTCAAATTCATGCCAGATAAGATTGGCATATTGCTTTATTTAGCACACCCTTCTCTTAGTCTCTAGTAGGAAGTCCTCTTCTCAATTCAGCTCCATGGCTAATACCCCTCTCAACACCGCCAACACCAGGCTTTCCTTGGCCATGGAGAGGACAGGCCAATGGTACGTAGTAACTAACCTTAACTATGCATTATTTCGTCTCTAATATTTACGTATATCTACTCAGATCAAAATTAGTAGTCTGTTAACTTTTGCTAATTATACACATGTATGGGTTATTACAGGGTTTTCTCCCAAGATATTCCAACCGACGTGGTGGTTGAAGTTGGAGAAGCAAAGTTTTCTCTTCACAAGGTACGTAATTATATACTGACTAGCTAGCTTGCTGTTTTGAAGCGCGGAAATGGAAAACTAAAGGTTTCGGTTTATGTGTCTTGTGGCAGTTTATGCTTGTGGCAAAAAGCAACTATATAAGAAAACTCATACTGGATTCAAAAGAAACGGATTTGACCAGAATCAATCTCTCCGATATACCGGGAGGCCCAGAGATGTTCGAGAAAGCAGCCAAATTCTGCTATGGCGTCAACTTTGAGATCACAGTTCACAACGTCGCGGCTCTCCGTTGCGCCGCTGAGTACCTGCAGATGACCGACAAGTACTGTGACAACAACCTCGCCGGTCGCACTGAAGACTTCCTCTCTCAGGTTGCTCTTTCTAGCCTCTCCGGCGCCGTCGTTGTCCTCAAGTCCTGTGAGCTTCTCCTTCCCATGGCTCAAGATCTCGGAATCGTCCAGCGTTGCATTGACGTTGCAAGTCTCAAGGTATTTAATATTTATACCTGTTACCAACTTTTAAATATGTTCAAATTTTATAGTTTCGAGTCCAGTTGCTTTTTAGTATGTTTTTAAGATTGTTTTCTGTTGTGTAATGATTTATTAGTAAGCTGATCTAAACGTGATGGGTTTTGTTTGATGGAAAAAATGAAATTAGGCATGCAACGAAGCCAACTTTCCTTGTCGCTCACCGCCAAATTGGTGGACGGAGGAGCTGTCGATCCTGGACATTGAATTCTTCCAAAGAATCATTGCGGCCATGAAACAACGAGGCGCCAAGACTTTAACTATTGCGAGTGCTATCATAACCTACACAGAGAGATCTCTCAAGGATCTGGTGCGAGACCACACCGGCTGTGGCATCAAGTATTCAGATCATGGTGACTCCGATATCAGAAACAAACAGCGGGAACTTCTTGAGTCAATCGTCAAGCTGTTACCCGCTGAGAAGGCAGCTTTTCCCATCAACTTTCTCTGTTGTCTCCTCCGATCTGCTACCTTCCTTAAGGCCCCCACAGCTTGCAAGAACGAGCTCGAGAAGCGAATCGCCGCAATTTTAGAGCACGTGACGGTCGACGACCTTCTGGTATTATCCTTCACTTACGACGGAGAGAGGCTGTTCGATTTGGAAAGCGTCAGGAGAACCATCTCTGCCTTCATGGAGAAGGAGAAGAACATGACCATCTTCAACGGCGGTGATTTCCAGGAGCCATGTTCCGCTACTACGCAGAGAGTTGCAAAGACCGTGGACAGCTACCTTGGGGAGATCGCCACCTACGCTGAACTCAGCATCTCCAAATTCAACGGTATCGCTAATCTTGTCCCTAAAGGTGCTCGAAAAGTCGACGACGATCTCTACCGCGCCATTGACATTTACTTGAAGGTGAACGAAATCTCAACCCGTAAAATGACACCGTCTGTCCGTCTCTGGTATACCCGTAGTATTGATCAAGTAGGCTTAATTTGATTTTGCAGGCTCACCCGAATCTGGATGAGATCGAGAGGGAAAAGGTCTGCAGCTCCATGGACCCTCTTAGACTATCGTACGAGGCGCGAGTACATGCGTCGCAGAACAAGCGGTTGCCAGTGCAGATCGTTTTGCATGCATTGTACTACGATCAGCTAAAGCTGAGGAGTGGGGTGGCGGAAGATCCAAAGATGGCAGATGCCGTCGCTACTCGGAACCAGCTGCAAGCGGACGTGTCGCTGATAAGAGAGAACGAAGCACTGAGAACCGAGCTGATGAAAATGAAGCTATACATATCGGATATGCACAAGAACCCTGGATCAGGGACGAGCAGCAAAGGAGGCCAGCGGAAGAACACTTTCTTCTCTTCCATGTCCAAAACGCTTGGAAAGTTGAATCCTTTCAAACACGGGTCTAAAGACACCTCCAATCTTGATGATAATGCTGTTGATATCACCAAGCCTAGAAGAAGAAGATTCTCTATTTCTTAGACCTAGCTATGAAGGATTAATGATCACCATTATCAATTACTAAGTTCTTCGTTTTGGAATAGTTGTGAATAGATGTAGAAGTTTGGGGATCAGGATTCAAAAACATGCGTACCGCATTCTTTGTTTCCTTCTCTAATTTTAAATTCGTATATTGTGTTAAATTCGTTATTGTTTTCTTTTAATGTTGTTTATGAATTTTGTTTAGACTATGTATTATGTGGTAGCAGTGGGAAAGAAATTGTGGCATACAAAGAAATAATAATAATTACATAAATTTTGGTGTATGTGATTAGTTTAATGTTTGATTTGTCTTTTCCCATATATAAAATTATGAGTTTGATTTATGTTATCCACTCATATATATAATAGTGAACATTGATTTTAGATTAAAGTCGAATAGAATCAGTTTTCTCTGGATTGAAAATCAAACCTACATTAATTTTGATTCCGATAGAATTGAACATAAAATTTTTGATTTCATCCGATTTTGAGACGAAATGGATCTAAATTTGTTTAACAATATCTAATTTTTTAAATTTATTATTTTAATTTTAAATGTTAAAAAATACATTATTTATATTTTTAAAATTTTATTACAATATTCTATATAATACACACATATAGTATTTTTGTAGATATATTATTTTAATGTTTAATGTTAAAAAATTAATTAGTTTGTGTTAATACTACGTCAAATTTAAATTAAAACATAACAAATATTATAGTTCAAAAATTTTTGGACCCAAGACCATATCGAATATTATTTGATCCGATCTTATTTTTTACATTAGTTATTATTTTTTATATATGTATATATATTACTTATTTTGTAATTATAAAATAATTACATAGATTTTGGTGTAATTTTGTGGGGATGATCGACTTACCCTAAAGCTCAAACTGGACAGCTATTATTTCAATAATGTTTTTAGATTAAAACTATCACGTACGAGTAGCACAAAATGTTATCGGCTCATTTTTAATTTTTTATTAATTATTATGAAAATAGAATTTAAAGTGCATTGATTAATTATATTTACAATATTTGTCAATTAATGTTTACTACAAATTAAATATAAAATTTGAGATTTAATTTAGTAGACTGCAAATCTTTTAGAAAAAATTAGTAATATTTTTATACACCTTTTATTATATTTTTTTTACCTATAATATTTTTATAGATAAATAACAATTAATTACATAGTTCCTTCATACCATAAAATAAAAACTTTAGTTAGTAGTTTAATTGGATCAATGACCCGACCCGGTTTTGCAGTCCAAGCCCATTATTTTGAGGGCTTTGGCCTTGTAAAACTAGCTACTAAATCCGTCGTTTGGAAAAATATAACGAGGGATTAATCGTATCCTCCTCCTCGCGTATAAATTGGGACAATCCGCTCTTCCCATTTCCCTCTCAGAGCTACAAAGAATACCGTCCTCCTGGTACAGTTTCTTGCGCATCACTCCATTTTCTTTCTCCCTGCACTACGAGATACCAGAAGAATCGAAGCGAAAGCATGGCAGCATCCGCCATGGTAGTGGACCCAAAGCCGGTTGCAGCGGAGCCACCGCCGTCATTCCCTTCAACGAGATTGGACCTTCAAGGGCTTGCGGACCCGTCATCCGTCGACGAGGAGGATCTCTACAGCCGCCTTAAGTCTCTGCAGCGGCAACTCGAGTTCATCGACATACAGGAGGAGTACGTCAAGGACGAGCAAAAGAACTTGAAGCGGGAGCTCCTCCGGGCTCAGGAGGAGGTCAAGCGGATTCAATCGGTGCCTCTCGTTATCGGGCAGTTTATGGAGATGGTCGACCAGAACAACGGCATCGTCGGCTCCACCACTGGATCCAATTACTATGTTAGAATCCTCAGTACAATCAACAGAGAACTTCTTAAGCCTTCTGCTTCTGTGGCTCTTCACCGCCACTCCAACGCCCTCGTCGATGTTTTACCCCCCGAGGCCGATTCCAGCATCTCCCTCCTCAGTCAATCGGAGAAGCCGGATGTCACTTACAATGTAAGTAATTATTTTAATTTTGTTGTTTGGTCTTCCTAATTAGGGTTTCTTCTATCAGGGACATTAGGGTTTTTTGGGCTTTCTCCAATAAGTACTTCGAATTGTGTGCTGGTCTTTAAGGTTAGGGGTATTGTCGTTTTTAACTGCATTTAAGGAATTAGAAATTATCAAAGAGAGCTATGGTTTGTGTGTTTGCTGTTTCGTTTAACGCTGGAAACGTGTATAATTTAAGTTACCATGATCTTTCTAGCCCAAACTAATCTTGAATGGAGGTATCCAAACTTCCTACCGCTTGCTGAGTTCTTTCTAATTTTGCTTATCGTTGAGTTCCCTGATGGTTTTTTTTTTTCATGATTTCTCTTCGGCATGCTGATTTTGGTTATCTTTGACAATTTGGTGCTTACATTATCCGAAAAGAGATAACTGTATGTACAACATTTACTTATGGAATGAAGTTAGTTGTAGATTTGTAGCATTTGCCTTTTGGGTAAAAAAAATCCAGCTTTGAGATAACTGTTTTATCTCACTTATGTGGTTTTCTGCTTTCATGACGTATTATAAACGTAATCTGTTGTTTCTTATTATGGTTGCAACAGTTCACAGTTTTCACTGCTAACTGCTGACAGCATGTTTATTTGGTTTTACATGCTGATATTATTTTCTCTCTTGTATGTGAAAATTAAGCAAGTTAACAATGTCATGTTAATATCTGCGTCTCATGGCCGTCAGATGGAATTTTGCCTATATATAGTCAAAGATTTGTATATTGTGTTTTCGCAAAGTTATCCAGCCTAGATTTTGACAGTCTCTTTACTTATCTTAGGATATTGGAGGGTGCGACATTCAAAAGCAGGAAATTCGTGAAGCAGTTGAATTACCTCTGACTCACCATGAACTGTACAAACAAATTGGTATAGATCCTCCTCGTGGTGTTTTGCTTTATGGTCCTCCTGGCACTGGGAAAACTATGCTTGCCAAAGCCGTTGCTCATCATACAACTGCAGCCTTTATCAGAGTTGTTGGCTCTGAATTTGTTCAGAAGTACTTGGGTGAGGTATGAATAGAAGATTCTGGTCTTATTAGAAACTAGTACTATATTTGGTAATCTGTATAACTAAATGTCTATGTCTTTCTTTCTTCCTCTATTAAAGGTTCTTGTCATATTAAAATTAGCAATATACATGATAATTTATATTTTTCTTATCACAAGAATCTGTTTTCTTATCTCATCCCCTCCCGCTTGCCCTTCAAGAAAAGAACCCTCCTACTCTTCATGTTTGCTTCCAGTAATTTTTATGATGTCGGACAAATTATCCTTCATTTATCTACCTAAAATTCTTAGATATAACACCAAAAACATTGCAGATTAGGGTCGGATGGCTAGGAAAATGACTAGAGAAGTAACTAGGGAGCAAATGTAGGATCTCCTGAGCATCACTTCTTAGGTGAGGTTTGATAACAAGTTTCTTGAGAAGGTTCTCTATATTTGCATTGAATAAGAGCTGCCTCCTAATTGAGGTCGCATAGGTATTTGTAGTGTCTTAATTTAATACTAATCTTATAATCACTTGAAATTCTTGTAGAAAACTTCAAAGAGGATAAAGCATAAATTGAACGTAATTGCTTACTATAATTATTATAATAGACTTCTAACTGCTACAATAAAATTCTAGATTCAAAAGGAACATGATTCTTAATATTTAGAAAATGTAGGTGAAATCCATTCAGCATCATTTGGCTTCTATCATGTGACAATTACATGGTTATTCTGCTTTCAAATATATGTTTGATTTACATTTTTTTTTGGGTAGAAAAAGTTTTGTATAATTCTGGGATCGGTTGGGTACTTCTTTTCTTCAATTTTTAATATCTTCTATGTTTCTCTGTCACAGGGCCCACGGATGGTCCGTGATGTGTTCCGTCTGGCTAAAGAGAATGCCCCTGCTATTATCTTTATTGATGAGGTGGATGCTATTGCTACTGCTACGTTTGATGCTCAACTGGAGCTGATAGAGAAGTCAGCGAATCCTCATGGAACTTCTGAATCAGGTAACAAGTGAAAAAGGAAATGAAAAGGAAAGATTATATGCTGTAATTGGGGATTTCCATGTGGAAGAAATAGGTTTTAGGGCTAAGAAGAAATGTGTCACTGGATAGCACAACTGTTATTTGGCCTGTGATTGTTATTAGTTCCTGTTCTTATATTAACTTCTGGCTGTGTTACATTATTCTCTAGATGGATGGGTTTGATCAGACAGTTAATGTTAAAGTCATAATGGCAACCAATAGGGCAGATACTCTGGACCCTGCACTTCTACGTCCTGGAAGGCTTGATCGGAAGATTGAATTTCCATTGCCTGATAGACGACAAAAGAGGCTTGTTTTCCAGGCAAGTTTTGTTCAGAAGTCCATTTTATTTGTAATTGCACAATCTTGAGACAGTTCAGTTGCAACAGTCTCTTTGCTGATTATAGCATGTTATTCATGCAAGACACTTCATGTGTCTCTTCAGTTACTTAAGGCTTCGAACCAAGGCTACAATACAATTTTGTAATAGCACGTTTCTATCTATCTCACATTGGCTGTGGCTTCTGGACTTTTCCTTGGTGTATTACAAGTTAAGCACATTTTGGGCTCATTTGTTGCTGTACAGGTCTGCACTTCTAAAATGAACCTAAGCGATGAGGTGGACTTGGAAGATTATGTTTCTCGGCCTGATAAAATCAGTGCTGCTGAGGTTAGTTTGTCACACTTCTTATGAGAGTTTGTTTTTTTTGTTGAGGGAACTTCCTTTTTGATACCGGTATCTTTCCAATCCATATGGTTTTCTTGATCATATGGCTTCTGCATTTTTTCTCAAAAGTTACAAGGGGAAGTGATGATTCATGTTAGATCCATTGTATTAGATGTTATCTTGTGGTTCATTGGTTCTTTTGTCAAAGCAAGTGCCACCATGAACAAGATGAAAATTATGTCATTTTACTTTGTAAATAATAATTCTTAATTTAAAATGGACCTATTACAAGGAACTTACGTTGGTGGATTTTGTATAACGCCTAATACTTTATAACTGTCCTGCTGAGTACTGTGATTTATAGTTTAGTAGTCATTTAATTGCATTAGAGAGTTTGTAGGATGGGCTTCAGGCTTCCAGCTGTGGATATAAATACTGTTAATTATGTTTTCTATGTAACTTTTTAATCATGAAATTATGTAATATTTTTTCAATTACTTGTCTGTAATTGTTTGGTCGCCCTGCAGATTGCAGCTATCTGCCAAGAGGCTGGAATGCATGCTGTTAGAAAGAACAGATACGTCATACTGCCCAAGGATTTCGAGAAAGGTTACCGAGCCAATGTGAAGAAGCCTGATACCGACTTTGATTTCTACAAATGAAGAGTCTTTTTTTTTTTTTTTGCTTATGTTTATGAAATTGTTAAATTACATGCAAACCTTGTTTTAGTTTATCATGCATGCCACAAGCAGTGTTTCAGAGATTTTATTGGCAGTACATAACTTGTGGTTGACATGGCATATCTTGAAAGTTTGAGTACTCGCCATATCTTAGGAGGCCAGTAAAGATTGAGGGGAAGGAGTGGGATAGAATCATAGATTCCATCAACAGAGTGGCTTGTGAATTCTTCAACTAGAGGGGTTAATGTATGATTTTTTAGATATTCAAAATACTATTGCTTGGATCTCTTTTGTTGTGCCGTGGCAATTGCGAGTAAAGCTCACACTGGAAATGTGATGAACAACAGGTTAGACGCCGCAATGGCTTTTTTTTTTTCTCTCTCTTTCTCTTATGCTCTTGGTGGAGCGTCCTAGTAATGTTACACAATGTTGCTGTGTCTTGATATTGTGGTTATGTTTTAGCTGCCACGGGTTATAGCAGAGATGAAAGTGGTCTAATAAGAAGAGATCTGGGGAGTTAAGATCTCCATAATGGCATAATCACTGGCTAAAACTTTGTTGCAACTGGCAGCTTCTGCAGATAAATGGTCTGTCTTCTTGTTTGCTGCCGTGGACTAACAGTGCATATGTTATAACACCTGTGGGTGCTGAGGAGACATTAAGTTCAACATTAACAAAAGAGAATAAAGAGGGTGGTGAAGGGCAGTTATTTATTTATTTATTTATTCATTTGACTAATATGGAAAGAGAACTGGTTGGAATGAGTTGGGAGTACATGTGCGCTGAGTGGGTGTGTGTATAGTAGAATGATGTAGTGAGCTGCACAAGTCAAATAGGATATAAAAATGGCACGCTCCGGGAGGTAGAAGGAAATGTGCCAACCATGTGGTGTTAGGTGTCTTTGTAGGGGAATATAGTAAAGTAATCAAAAGAAGATTTTAAAAAACAAGAATGACTAACTAAGGTAGTTAAAAGTTTTTAACTTTTTCTTTTTTGGCAGATGAGGCCTTTTTCTTATTTCAAGAAATTCTTGTATTAAGTTGGTTGTGGTTACTTTAATTAAGGAAATTTATTTATTAAAATATATATATATATATATATATATATATTCATAAATCATTATAATTCACCCTCTCTCCATATAAAAGGATTATCATTCCTAAACATATTAATTAGACATTTGGTTGATTATATAAAAATAAGATTATGTTAAAAAAGATATGTTTATTATCTTTATTATACTATTTGGTAATCTCATAGTCAGTGATTAGAGGACTATGAATCAGAACTATAATATTTACTATAATTATTATTTTCTTGATTGCAAACTAAATAATTTAATCTGATTACAATTTTACTACTATGTTATCAAATTTTCTTTTTTTGAGAATAACAAGATCTGGTGAAGCTTAATTTCATATGATTTTACCATATGATTATGAATTGAATTCTAAAGTCATAAATTAAAAAGTCAAACACACTACTCAGTTAGCTTTGTATAAAGTAATCCCACTTCCTTTCAAATTCTTGAACCGTCGGAGAAGGAAATCAATTCATTAGGGTTACATTTTAAAAGTGAAACATTTTATGTAATTTACTTTGAAATTTATATTTAATTACTTTATTTGAAAAATTATAAATTCCTTTCTCATATTATTTTAAATGAAATGATAAAATTTAATGTTTATCAATTGAAGTTGTAGCTTTTTTTTAAAAAAAGTTTAGAACAAACTATAAATTTGTATAATTTATTTATAAATTAAATATGTAATCTAGATGCATGATATTCTTTAATGGGCTTACACATATTCATATAGAATTTTGCATATATATATATATTAAATTATTTACGATGAATTTACAATACTATCCAGTTGAACTGTGAAATAAATTTTAAAAAATTCATTAAAATTATTTGTCAATTATCATTTTATAACATGTTTGGTTCTTTCTATAAGATTATAACCTATGTAATTAACAAAATTTTGCAATAAAAAATAATTACTTCTTCGACCTTTTTTACCATACAAAGTGTGTAATCAAATATACAACACAATTATATTTACAGTAATAATAGTGATCATAATTATAATTATCTTACATTACATTATACTATTTATAAAATAGTTAATTACACTACGTTACACTACGAAGGTAATAATTTTATACTTTTTATAAAATTTTTAGACTGTACAAATATAAAATTTTAAATAAAAATCCACTGTGGAGCTCAGATGTCAATTATGGCATAAAGACATGTGAAGGCTCCATTCATGAAGAAGTATGTCTCTTTTCTAATCATAACAAATATTATATTCAAATCTCTTTACTTACACATTAATTAATTTATAATAATTATCACGCCTTTATTTTGATACATTATCTTTCAGCCCTTGTCACCAATATACACACACACACACATATGTATATATATAGAGAGAGAGAGAGATTTGTAGGAAAAAAAAAAAAACCCTTTTCTCTTTTTCTTTCTAAGGAGGAAAATTAATTTACAGAATGTTGTGTACTTTTTTTGAAATAATTTCAGAAGAAAATGAAATGTCATCAGTTTTGTCTGGTGATGGGAAATTAATAAAAATAATAAAATTTAAGTAAAAGTGCAAATAGGTAAAGTATTAATTGAATTAATTAATTGAGGGTCATAGATATAATAAGAAGAGAAAGGTGTCTGTCGTCAACACCAACCATATGGTAATGATGGATGTCGAGACATCATAAACAATATAAATGTTAAATTAATTACCTTCTAAATCCATATACGTATACATATACACACACACACACACATATATATATATATATACTCTTAGCGTAACCTTCATTTTAATCAAATATGATCCACATGAGACGTGACTTCTCATCCCCTATACCCTTTGTATTTCTTATTTTTTTCAAAACCCTTTTATTTCATTTTTTTTTTATATAAATTAGGTTTAGGATTTTTGTAACCTTCAACTTTTACTTTTTTAAATATGAAAAAAGTAACACATAATCCAAAAGTTATGTTTAAAAAGATGATATAGACTTTATAAACATAATTATAAAATATAATCGAATCTTATTTAAATACCATATATACCCCTATATTACATTAATGATAAGTTTATAATTTATATTTAGAATCATGACATTATAACAAGCAAATTATTAATTTATCCAGACCCAAAATTCTTGTCAATTGGTTGCATTAATTTCGTGCACAACTCGAGATCATAATTTCTTTTATCTTCCGGATGTGTGTGTGTGTGTGTGTATATAATACATGTAGTCCAATATGTATATATATATATTGCATTGTGATTCCCGGCGTTGGTGTGGTGTTGATGCATGATTATATATATATATATATATAAATGGTAGGTTTGCTGCATGTGTACAAGGGATGACATTTAAATTAAACAGGTGGAGTAGTTGTGTAATCAATTAAAAAGCTTGGAGTTGTTGCATCGACCGTCACCCCCTTCTCCAGTAACCATTAAATTTAAACGTATCTCAAATATTAATATTTTTAGCAATGAGATTAGTAAATTAAATTGAGTTTATATTTATATAATTGCATTATAATATTATTTAATGGATAAATAATGTTAATTTTGTTTTATCTACCTGGCATTATGAGGTTCCATGACTAGCAGTCAGACACCCAGTCTCACTAGAAGACAACTAGTCTACAAAGAGAAGCAGCCACGGCAGTGGCATGACTGTAAATAAAAGCAAAGTGAGGACCTAATTGGTATTGATGAACCATATGTAAACGCCTTAACCGTGACACATACGGATTTTACATTTACAGAAATTAAAAGAATATCGCACAAGGATTTATTTGTTTTCTTTCATCCAGAGCAGTCGTCTTCCTCTTACTCTCACTCTCTTTATTCTCTCTTTTCTCTCACTCTCCATTTAAGCTTTCCTCTTTTATACAAACAGATTCTCCTCCATTTTCTTCACCTCTAAGTTCGATTCCCCTTCACGACTTGCGGCTCTTTATATAACAAATCAGAAGAAAATCTCAACTTTTCTTCTTTTTTTTTTTTGTTTTTTGTTTTTTGTTTTGGTTTTTGTTGGGTTGAAGTATACAGCTCCCGTTCGTCTTGTGGGTAACTCAGGAACTAATCCCTGACGTTAATGCTCACGTTTTCCCATAACATTCTTACACTTAATGTGTACCCGATGTTCGTAGCAGCACATTGTGCCTCTCTAACAGATTTGCAGAGCTTTAATGGCGGATCTGGAGCTCAACTTCCTCGATTCGCGTGCTAATGCCGTTAATAGCTCCATTAATTATGCCCCTTTTTCGCGTTTCTGTCTTCGGTTTTAGCTCAACGGAGCTATAACGGCTACTCTTTACCTTCAAGCTGTCAAAAAATACCGTACATTCCCATGAAAGACCCAGGTTCGTTCCTTGTCTTTCTCTTTTTTGCTTCTTCGTTCTTTCCGATCTTTTGTCGCTTGGTTATTAGCTGTTTGTTTACGTCGACTAATTTTAAGCTGTTTTTAGATTATGAACCAAAATCAGCGTGTATAAATTTGACTGCTTTTTAGATCTAAGTAAATTCTCAAGAATGCTTGGTGTTACTTTGACCACGAAATTTATTTTAATTTTATTTCCGTATTTGTTTCCATTTAATTTTTTTGTCATGAATTCTACGAAGATATTTCTGTGAGATCTTTCCTTTTCCTAATAATCCGCAGTTGTAAGACAGAGTTGGACTTCAAACATACTATCAGTACAAACCTAGCGTTCTTAGGAGTTGATGGGTAAAATGTGGGTGGACAATTTGTGAATTTCGTCTTCTATAATTTTAGGACTTAGGTTTTGCATTGAGGACTGGGGAGTCAAAGAGAAAAATATTTGTTCTAATAAGAGGTGTTCGATTGAACTTTCTCTTTTACTTGTCAATTGTATAGCACAAGTAGAATTTTGGTTGTTGAACAACTCTACTCTTACAAGATACTTCATTTTCCCATCTCAGGAAGAAGCTAAGCATCTTCTTCCTTTTCGTATTAACCAATTCCTCGCCAGAAAGAAATTTTTTTAAAAAAGATTAATCTTTTCTTCCAACTTTAATGTTTCTTGTTCTAAGCCTATTCCTTGCTCTTGACTTACATATTAAAGTGGTAAATCAATTTTTTTTTTTTCCTGATAGAAAACTGGAAAAAGTGGTATAATCAATATTGTTTGCCACTATTTGCTCATGCTGCTCTGTGATCAGCAGTACATAATTGGAGCTGGTTTCTTTTTTTTTTTTATTTAAAAAAAAAAAGGTTCTTCATGGTGCCCAGATATTATCACTGTTTTTTTGTTTATGAGAATCCCCTTTTCTTCGTTGTTGGGTCTTCTTTTTAACCCTTTTCCTGACCCTTTAAATTAACGTAGCAAAAGAAAGGCAGCTGTTTTTCTGGAGTGGAGGGCTTAAAATGTGATGGGAAAAAGTATTCTTCTTTTGCTTTATTCCTTCTATGATAATGTATTTGGCTCCTCCTTTTTTGATAATGCTTATCTTTCTCTTCCCTATCCCACGTCTTTACTTGCTTAATTTTGAATTTCTCTTTTTAAATTGGGTATCATAAAAGCAAAGGCAGGCAGGTAAATGGGCTTATCTTTTCTCGAAAGTTCATGAAATGCCAAATGGAAAGTTTTCTTTTATTTTAATATATATTTTAAGATCTATGCTGTCTAATTCTGGCCTTGCTGAAACTTCAACTAATCTTGCTGCACAAGAAACATTACAAATGCTTCTTCCCACCCTTTTCCCTTGTAACTGGGAGCTTGCTTCTGTTGTGAATTTCACCAATTATTGATCAGCATTAGGAATTGATGTACAGAATCCCTGTCACAGAGTTACCTCTTTACTTCAGCAGCTTGAGGGTAGGGATCTAGCTCAAGATCATGCACTACCAGAGTATATGCACGTGTCAATTTTTTTTCTGCAACTTATTATAGGGGCTTAGCTGATAATTTGTCATGGAATTGATAATTCTCATACCCTAGGCCAAGTGCTATTTCACATTTCAGAATGCACCAGGATTAGAATGCAATTCCTTTTCTTTATGGTTTTCTCCTCCAATTTTAGAGATTTGCATTTGAAGAGAGAGAGAGAGAGAGAGAGAGAGAGAGAGAGAGAGAGAGAGAAATAGGGGAGGGACATTTGTGTTGAAAGTTCCAATTACATTGGCCATTGCATTGGTAAAACTTCCGATCTCACAGTTGGAAACTTATTCTTGTGATACTTCCAGCCTCACTCATGCTAGCAATGGAATCAGCTTCCCTTATTTTACCTTTGCAAATATTTGAGATTGTGGCTGCCTAATGATATTCTGCTACTTTGAAACAGGAAGGGAAGAAAACATGCAGATACTACAAATTTGTTACCATAATCAATTCTGCAAACCCTGTTCTGTGCAACATCCCATGAAATATTTTCACTCTTCGGTATTGTTTTTCTTCCTTGTTGTGTCGATGCTCTCTCTTGCTTTTGCTGATCTTGAGTCAGATAAGCAAGCCCTTCTTGACTTCGCTGATGCTGTCCCTCATCTTCGGAAACTCAATTGGAATGCTACTACTCCAATCTGTGCATCCTGGGTAGGCATCACATGCACTCAAGGTCATGCCCGTGTGATAGCACTCCGGCTTCCAGGAATTGGACTTGTTGGTCCTATTCCAGCCAATACACTTGGTAAACTAGATGCCCTCAGGGTTCTTAGCCTGCGTTCCAACATCCTGAGTGGTAATCTTCCATCTGATATTACATCTCTTCCATCACTCCATTACCTCTATCTGCAACGCAATAACTTCTCTGGTGATATTCCTTCCTTCTTTTCCTCCCGGCTCAATGTACTGGATCTCTCATATAATGCTTTCACAGGGAAAATTCCTGAGACATTACGAAATCTGACTCAGTTGACAGGATTGAGCCTTCAGAACAACTCCCTTTCGGGACCCATTCCTGATAGTGATTATCATAGTCTTAAGCATTTGAATTTGAGTTACAACCATCTTAATGGGTCAATTCCTTCGTCACTTCAAAGGTTCTCAAATTCATCCTTTGTAGGTAACTCTTTCTTGTGCGGACTACCTCTAAAAGGCTGCTCCCCTATCCTTCCTCCACCTTCCCCATCACCTACCAAGTCACCTCCACCATCGCCCATGTTTCCTGGAAAAGAAAGCTCCAAAAATAAACTGCATTTAGGAGCTATCATTGCAATTGCAGCTGCGGGGGCTGCTGTGCTGTTTCTTTTGGCAATAATTATCCTATGCTGCTGTATTAAGAAAAAAGATCAGGGAGGCAGTGGTGTGTTAAAAGGGAAGTCAACCAGTGGTGGCAGGAGTGAGAAGCCAAAAGAAGAATTTGGGAGTGGAGTTCAAGAACCTGAGAAAAATAAGCTGGTTTTCTTTGAAGGTTGTTCCTATAATTTTGATCTTGAGGATTTATTAAGGGCTTCAGCTGAGGTGTTGGGAAAGGGTAGCTATGGCACAGCATATAAGGCTGTCTTGGAAGAGTCAACAACAGTGGTGGTGAAGAGATTGAAAGAAGTAGTAGTGGGCAAGAGAGAATTTGAACAGCAGATGGAGATTGTAGGAAGGGTTGGACAGCACCCAAATGTTGTGCCACTCCG